CGTCAAGAGGCGGGCGCGCCGGCATACCACGAGCCAACGCGTTTAACGAACGAGAGCGCAACTGGTTTTCGGGTGTCGCGGCGCACACGATCGTAAGGGGCATCTGCAGCTCTGGACCGATCGCCGGCCCGCGCTTTCGTCTAGATGTGGACGGTTGAGTCACTGGCTTTCGATGTCTAATCCGAGAGAGGATACACCTTTCTGAGTCAGATTTCTGTGGCCGTGAGAAATGAATCATTTCTTTTCATCTTGGCCGAAGAGGATGAATGTTTGGCGTGATTAAATATTTTCTGAGATTTCTTTAAACGTGAAAGTAATAATTATTCCCTGATTTTCAGAAGATACAAACCATTACATTGAATAATTATTCATATTTTAGTCACTGTTGATACTGTAAAAAATTGCATCGATGCACTGACACTAAAAGAAATCGATGTTTAAATTCCATCATCCTATTTTCTGGAATGTTTACTAAAACAGGAAACGTTATAATATTTGCCTTTACGAGATTGGGGAAGATTTCACAAGAAATGTTGTCACAAGCAGAGAGTAAATAGATGTTTGCAAAGTACATTAAAACTGGGTGGCTATTCCTGGAAATGCTGAAGAATCGATATCGATTTATCAATATCGCGCCAGTTCCGAACCCGACCGAAGCGTATCGCAACATCTACAGACACGAACCGAACCGGAAATACAGCGTGAGGAAACCCAGAGCAAACAGCGGAACGGTATCGGTTATAAAAAGCCTAATTTCACCACAGTTCTTCGTAATCCAATTACATCCGGCCGGGCTACGTACGCAACCTTATGGGAACTGGGCAGTCGAAAGAATGAAAGGATGAGCTCACGTATTCGAACCCGATGGGCCAACCGCGCTTTTTTCCTCGGATTCTCTGGACCATCCTGGCGGATGCAGAGCGGGATTGTAAAAAGATCATGGCCGCCGGCTCGTCCACCGAATCCTTTCTCCGCTCGTCCTTACACGGGAAGACGCGCCAGTGCGTTTTACGGCCTTCGCTTTGCGCGCAGCCGGACGCGTCGCTGGGGAAGGACGCGTGTGTTTGCGACGAAAAAGTTGCCCTCAACACTCGTTTTCAGCCCTTCACAGTATTAAATAACGTAATTTATTATTATTATTATTATTATTATTATTATTATTATTATACATTACGATTCAGCAGTGGGGTGCGTTCTTTACATTTGGTTGAAATGCTTACAGTACATGAACTCTTAATGAAACCAATCAAATTATTTTTCTTCTTCTTGGGGCTTTTTTCAGCTTCACGGAATGGCGATTTTGAGTATCCGCGCCGGATACCCACTACGTCTCTCATGAGGACACATACTACCCTTTTACATCAGACACAGTTGGGGGCTCCTCGGTCTGTGGTCAGAAGACTCAAAAGGCCTCCCGCAACAACACACACACACATGAAAGAGAAGAGATAAACAAGATATTAAATGATCAGGTCGTATGAAAACTCTCTTCTCTACTATTCTACTAGTAGAATCAAATGAACAAAAATTAACGAGGTGTTCTTTATCTTTATTACTAAAATAAACAACAACATCCCTCTTATTTACGAAGAAGCAGCATTTTTCTCATGTATATAGAGGAAGAGAGACTGTTGTGCTTCGCCTGCTGTTTTCAATTTTCGATTATTACCCACCCTCCTTTCACTCTAGCGATTACTCCAGCTGATCCGCTGCACCTTCGACAGCCATCGCTCACACAAACCCCATTAATAACGTGATTAATCACTTCCATCTCCACGGCGGGACTCGAACACCCGACCATTCAGTTCGAGACTCTGAGTCGGCACACGCCCAACCCACTTCGGTCAAGGTTAGCGAAACCTATCAAATAAAGTCACAAAGAAGTAACGTAATTTATATTAAGTATTTATGGACTTTTGTCATTTATCCACTCTTGAGGGAATTTCTACAAAGAGAAAGTTAGCTATCTGAGAATTTGAAACAATACATTCGTAAAATTCAAAATTTCTAATACACCCTGTTTTTGAGTTGTCTTTTCCCTCTTGTGATTTTGCACATCAGCTTTCATTAACCATCCATGCTTAAAACGCACAATACGGATTGTTTAATGAAACGATGGATTCATTCAAATGTAGATATACAGCAATCGCGGTAGTCGCAGCAATCGCATTAATAAAGTAAAGCACGGCTTAAAGAGCCAAGAAAGCCTGCAAAAACTTTGACATTATCTTCGCTGACGTTTGGTGAGGAAATCTAATAGAGCATAACATCCTCCTTCCATATACAAAGCAATACAAACGCTTTACTCCAAAAAAAAAAAATACATGCTCCAGGGAACTAAAGCCTTCAAATCCCACAAGCGAAATTTACTTTCTTTTAAACGCTTAACAAGGTACGACAGCCCATATTGACTCATCTCGCTTCGTTAAAACGCAACACCCAACAGCGAGCGCATTCTCGCGAGATGGACCGCAAAATCGTATTCCGGCCCCACAAAGAGCCATCTGTCGTCGTCGCCGCCGCCCCGAGATTACATCTGGGGCGCCGCGCCGGGGCGGACGCAGCTGTGGTCGCGGGGGCGGAGGCAGGCGAGGGGTCGAAGCGCGGGGGGGGGGGGGGTACCTGCGGCCCCCGCACCCCGAGGGGACCCGCGCGGGGGCGGAGCCCCTACCCTGTATGGGGTGCCAGGGGGGCAAATTGCCTGGAGGCGCAAACAGCAAGCACCTGGAGCTCCCCGCGGCGGCGAGGGCAAACAGAACACGGAAAACTTCCGCCGTGGCGGGACGATAAAAAAAAAGGAGCTATTAGGCTATTATTAATCGCGTTATTAAAGGGGTTTGTTTGAGCGATGGCTGTCGAAGGTGCAGGGGAGCAGCTGAAGTAATCGCTTGAGTGAAAGGAGGGTGGGTAATAATCGAAAATTGAAAACAAGCGAGGCACAGCAGTCTCTCTTCCTCTATATACATGAGGAAAATGCTGCTGCTTCGTAAATAAGAAGTATGTTGTTGTTTATTTTAGTAACACAGATTAAGAAAACCTCGTTAATTTTTGTTCATTTGGTTCTACTAGTAGAATAGTATAAAAGAGAGCATTCTCATACGCCCTGATCATTTAATATCTTTTACGATACGAATAACAAAGTCGAACAATATATTGGAGTTCACATGCCGTTTTCTGACAGTAAAAGTGCGTGTATGACAGCGTGAATCGATGTCAAATTTTACGAGTTGCCAATTTCTTCTAAAGCATTTGTAGCAATCTTGCTCTGCAAGCCGACGATTTAATTCTCATGACAAACGATACTAAAAGATATTGAAAGAGGTGGCTCAGGGCATTAACTGATGGCGCTGCAGTGCCTCTGACAGTGAGATCCTAGGTTCGAGATCTGAAAGTGGTAGGATTTTCGACCCAAGATAGACAGCTAGGTCAATTTCAGAAGCTGCGTGGAGGAGAATTGTGATGGCCTGCTACCCTGATTGGCAGTCTTCCGTGGTTTCTCTGATCAATACCAGGTGAATGCTGGAGCAGAACTCAAACGTCCTCGGACAGCGCGCGATCTTTCCTTGTCTTATTCTTACCCCTTACTTGCACAAATTTACATTTACGTGCAGTACACAACCACAAATGCTTAGAGTTTGTCCCGGCTGGGTCGGTGTCCCTGTAGGGAAATATCTGGTTGGAGAAAACCCCTCTAGCCTGCTAGTGGGTCGGCGCAGGAGCCATGCAGAGGGTGAAGATCACCGCCACCTTCCGAGGAAAAAACATGCACTACAGTTACGGGAGTAACAACCTTAGCCGTTGACGCGACCGGAATCATTACTCAATTGATACTAAAACTCACAAATTCTGCGTTCTCGTTACCTTCTCACGTGAAGTATTCATGAATCGGCATATATGGTCCTGAGATCCCATTCCTGCTAGAAGCTTTCGCGTACTCGCTGTTTTGTTAGTAAACAACTTGTTATAAGCCGGATTAGCCAGGAACAATACTATTATTTGGTTCAACACCGCTCCGAAAACTTTCGCCAGAAGCCAATCAGGATTTCTCATAGATCACAAGTAACTTCCGCCCGTAAACAATTGTTTGCTTTTTGCCCGAGGCGAGCAGTAAATTAACATGCCCCCAACCAATGGCATGTTTCAGCTCTTACGCAACGAAAGATATACGTAGTATAGAATTTACGCTTATGTAGCACTTGAATGGATGTATAAATAAGTGTTCGAACACATAGACAATAACAGTTTATAAAGTATGCAAAGAAATGGCATCAAGATAAGCAAAATGCTATAGGGCTATATGGAAGCAAAAACTTCCTGAGGTCCAGAGTATTTCTTGAGCAACGACTATTGCGTATCAACTCTACCTTTAAAAAAATTAACAGACTTTATACGCTGTTGATTCCGTTCAATGCACAAGATTTTTTCATAGTCCATGAGTAGCAGAATTAGGAACAGAGCATTCCAATGGTAATATTAGGATCGCTTAGCTCAGTCTAGACCAGCGAGTGTATCGTAGTCTATTGCCGATCGTCCAACCACAGTATATCTATACAAGTACTCTAGGGACAAAAATATTAAATAATAATGGTCAAATCCTAACCATTTAAAAGTTCGGTTAATACGTTTCACACCCCACCCTGAGCTCCTTAAAAGTATTGCATAATATGCGTCATTTAATTTTTGGCCACAACAACAAATCACATTCACCAGCACAGTTTCAATGTAAACTCTCAATTTCGTCAGAATACAATATAAGATGTCCTAATGAACAGACAATAACACGAATAACACTTCACAAATTAAAAAAAATCCATGAGAACTACAAAACAATAATACAACAATTCTTCAGAAAACACAATCCACACTTCAGCTTCCTACGGAAAATCCACGTCAATCACCAAAAAAAGTCCTGCACATTAACCTGTCAAAGGTAAGGACGAGGCCGCGTGAACAATCGCGACCTTCGCCCGAAATTTCTGCAAATTCACTTCACCACTTACCGTAGATGACAGCCACCAAAACAAGGCGTTGGCGCCTTACATCACACGCGTTCTTGAAACCCGGCTCGGCGTCTCACAGCACATGGACACTGGGAAGAGAGAGGGAGCGAGAACCTCGAAGCACGCAACACGTGAGGTCGTACGCCCGCACGGAGGAGACCACAGCAACGACCGACAGCGACGGCGGCTGGTCCGAGACTACCCGGCGCGCGAGCTTCGCGGCGCAGCGCGGCGCGGCGCGGCAGGCGGTGGAGGTGGTAGCGTACTAGGAGCGGTGGTGGGGTGGCGGTGGTGGTGGCGGTGGAGGCGGTGGGTGAGTGGCGAGGGGAGCGGCGGGCGTCGGGACTGACGATGGTGAGGAGAGGTGGGGGGCAGGGCATCCGGCCCGAGCCGCTGCGCCGGCCGTGCGGCAGCTGTCTCCGCGCGTCCTGTCGCAGTCGCGTCTCCCGTTTCGCGACGCTGTGTTGCGTGACGTCGCGTCGTCGTCATCGTCGTTGTTAAGGATGCGACATTCATGTCCATGTTTTCAAAACGTCGATATTTTTTAAAGAATTGATGTATGTAACAACTATTTTTGAAGGTAATGTTAACATCGATATTATGTTGGGGATATTACATCTCTAATCCCACGCGTCCTGTAGACGTTTAGTCTCCGGTTTCGCGATTTTAAGGACGCGACATCGATGTCGCTGTTTTCAAAATTTCGATTTTTTTTTAAAAAATCGACGTATTATCCTATCTTCAATTTTTGAAGCCGATGTTTTCATTATATATATATCGATGTTTTATCAACATCGATGTAATTTTGAGCAACAATGTTTCGAATCAGGGATGTTTTGTAGGCGATGTCGCATCACTACTCCACGCGTCCTGTCGCCGTCACGTCTCCCGTTTCGCGACGTCCGTAGCAGAAACGGAGGGCGAGCAGCTCGAGGTTGGAGCCGCCGCCGGCGCGTGGCAGGATGCTCCGAGGCGGTCGACGTAAGCGGGACTCTTCCGTCCGAAACATAGTTGGAAGCTTTACGTCATGTCTCACTCAGCGCAATCCTTGGTCTTCGAGAATTCAAGGGCTCCAGCGCAGAACCGGCTGGGATGACTTGATTGGTTATGCATCATGTACTCTAATAAGAACCTATGCAGTAGGAATGCGACATCGACGTTCATGTTTTTAAAACATCGACGTTTTTATAAAAATATTGAGGTATTTAAAATCAATTCGACGTTCTTTTTAACATATTAAAACATTTTTTAACATTTGTATCATCGATGTTTTCCCATGATGATATTTACTTGTAAGTGAAAAAAGTAGTATCATAATAAAAAATAGTAATGATTTTGAGATATCCATAAATTGGACATTCTTCGTAGCAAAATGAGCAAGGGTGAAAATTAATTAAAATAAAGGTTTCGTCGATAAATGCAGTCTATATTATTTTTGAATTGTCGAATCAGATTATAAAACATTTTAATTGTCCTGATTATGTTTGATTTTATTTTGTAAGTTAACTTTCAATTAAAATTTAATTAACGCGACCACCAACAAATCACCGCCCCCCAGACTAATAATGGTAACTGAAAGTTATAGTTAAGATTTTAAAAACACCAATGTTTAAAAACGTCGACGGTTTTGAGAGGTTGTTTTATTAACATCGATATTTTAATTAGGAACACCGATGTTTTGTAAGCGGTGTTCTATCCCTACGTGAATACACGTTGACACACGTTGAGAGAGAAAATAAGGAAGCTTGAGAGAAGTGTAGCTATAATATTATTCCGTATATATACACCCAAACATTGCTTACTCAAATCACAAAACAGCAGAAGGTTCTTTTATTCTATTTTAAAATTAATATACCGTCAAGACCAGTTTTAAATTTAGTACATAGCAAGACAAATAATTGCCATGAAATTATCGGAATATTCAGTGACCGGAACCTGAAAGAATCGATTCTCGTTTAACGATTATTTATGCAAATCGATTATCTTTGAAATTGGTAGCGTACGTATCCTAAGGGTTGTGAAAATGAAATGTACCTTTCATTCACGATTGTTCCAAGCAAAGCCAATTAACAGTAACTAGAAAATGGAAATTACTTAATTTTCAAAGGGATCAAATTTGCTTATGTGAAACTGCTTTCCGGGAGGATGCGGAAAGAACTACAGAGAGTTAAGGTTTAAGAGATGATAGAAATAGAAGGTAGTTCACTAGACTTCGAGAAATACCAGCGCGTTTCAAGCTACAAAGCTCTACAATCGTTCGTCTTTGAAGTTGAAATTGATTAACAGAGAAAGGGACGCTACCTGAACCAATAGCCGCGCGAGGGGCAGAATGCAACCGAACGACCGCTTGCCGCGCGGCTGTACAAGTGCGCGCAGCATTCCACGGGCCCCAATGGATGTACGAGTGCACGGAACATTGGAGGAGCGCTCCCAAAGCGCGATTCCGGGTTCGTGTCCCTTTCAGGCTACTGGTTCGGCGCGGGCGACCACTCGCGAAGAGAGCAGCGCCGTGACGGACGATTAAAGGTCGATGACTCATTTCTTAAGACCTACGCCAGAGGCTCCAAGTCTACTGACGTCTCCAAACTTATAGTACATCCTCCGGACTACGTCCAATACCCAAGATTGTGACAGAAATGAATTAGAAATAATTGCATTTTTTAGATGAAACACATAGAAGAATATTAAAGCAACTCTCAAGGGTCATAAATTCTCCCTCAACTTGAGCCGTGTTTGTTGAAAGCTTCCCTGTCTTATAACAAAAAAATTCTACATTAGGAAGCTTTATTTGTAAACCCTACGTAAGTAATGTCAGTAGGCGAAAGATAACATTTTCAGTTTATAATGAACAATATGTCAATATTTCCTGGAGGGCTGTATCAGCTCTGCGCGCACCTGATGATGAATAAGGGTAATAAAGACATTTTCTCTCAATGTTTCTAAAAAAATCAAGATTCTTCAGCTTTAAATGTCACTGTATTAATATGCATTCAATACTGATTCGCCTGATGGACATGTAACACAATATAGGATATGTTTAAAATACGAGCTTGACTTTCAATATTTCATCAATTATAAATGGTATGTAAACAGAAAATAAAATACAAATATGACACATACAAATCCTTTTATTTCCCCAAAATGAAAGAGGAATATATGATAAAAATAGGGGAGAATGAGAATATTTTGTTAGAAACCTCATGTGGTTGTCTCAGGCTGCCTGTATTACAGAAAAAATTATAGTAATAAAGAGTTCTTTTATTGTTTGGCGTCGCAAGGACATCTGCAGCTATGCTAAATAGGCTCTATGTGTTATAATTGAGGAAATGACAATGTGGTTTAGAGAAGAGAGCATCACAGAAAAATAAGGTTCAGTCCTTGAGGAAATGAAACATGACGGAGGATACAATACATGGTTGGTATCAATGACTGAAACAGTGGCCATGGCTGACATCAACATAAAGACAATAAAATATCAATATCACGGCTTCCTACAACATAATAAAATTGTACGCTAAAGTCACACCAAAGAGTTCAAAATCATCATCACGCCCTGAAGTCGTCGAAGCGATGTTTTAGTGCGAAATATGAAGCCTAAGTACACTACTATAACTACAAAGTACACACTATATAAGTTCACTACTATTTCCATTTAGCGTATTGTACCTTTTCAGGCAAGATATATTGCGTATATTAAAGTGCACTTTGAGTGCATGAAATAAACAAGCCGGCCTGCGTGGCCGGCGTAGTTACAGCTTGTGTCGAACTTACGAGTTGATGGTTCGAATTCCGTCATTAACGTTTGCCCCGTCATTCGGACGTGGATTTTCGAATGACGTCATGGACGTGTGTCCGTTGACTTTCGAATGCAGTGAAGCGGAGGTCCATGTGTCCCACGGGTGCCCAAATTTCCTAACAAGTCGGCAAGTCTGTCAGCGTTTGGTATAAATTTGCGATGCGCCCGTGTGTGATATAGAGTGAAACAGGCTTCGGCCGAAAATATTTCCGAGAAAAAACGAAATAAATGATTATAATGATGAGAGCCTCACTCGGCCTCGAAGCAAAGAAAAAAAAAGATGCTTACGCTTTTATGCCCTCTCCTTTACTCAATAGATGATCAGTGTTTATTTTCCATTGCCTGCCATTGGATGGTAAGGGCGATCAAGAGACGTGAATGATGATGGAAGTTAATGAATGAGTTGTGATACGTCATGGCATGAGAAGATGCACATGGTGAAAACATGAATGGTTTCTGCGGGACTCGAATTCTCAATATTGGTCTTTGCTTTCTTGAACGCTCCTGAACGCCGCTTGAAAGTTCCTGAATCATCGAACAAGGCAGTTCAAGATGAGATCAGACCAGCTGAGATAGTTCACGGGAACAAGTGTTGCCAGAGCAGTGTCTTTGACCGGTCGATCATAGGGTTCAAGTCGCTACGGTGGCGGATTTCAGCTCAAGCTATAGTCAAAATCAGATAGTTCAAATAGATAGGTCAAAATCAGCCGCTGTCTCGAGGAAAAATCTAGCGCCCGTCTGCTCTGATCGCCAGTTTACAGTGGTTTCTCCATTCAATGTCAAGCGAATATACAAGCAAATACCTTCTTAACAAACAGGCTACGGACCGTGTGCAATCACCCATGTCGCCTCCTGTGCCCTGACATACACTCACATGCACTACTCCAACACACACGTCGTGATATCAGTCAGGAGCTTAAAACTTGTCGCGGATGAGGAAATATCCCGCTAACGGATGTGTCTTAGACCAGGTGTGGACGGGAAAACGTGCAAACGGACGTGTCGGTCGGTACCAGATCTCACGTTCTAGGAGGAACACCGCCACTTACCGGGTAACATACACTACACTAACGGAACTAATGACCGTAACATTTGACGCGTCCGGGAAGAGAAAATAAATAATCAGTGAATGCTTGGCGACGAGGTCCGCAGGGCAAGCGTCGCGGCGCCAAGGTGCGGGCGGCCCGTTGCCAGAGGCGTCTCCGGGTCGGATCGCGGTGGAGCACGCGGCGCCCGGCGCGCTTGGCACTCGGCGCTGGACCCGGACGCCGAAGGGGAAAGCGCAAGCGCGCGCTCTGACGCAACCAAGGACCGCGCGCGTGGTGTGGCAGCGTGGGAAGTCGTCGTGCCCGCAGCGGTGTGAGGCGTGCGTCTGCGTGCGCTGGCGGCGGTCCTGGCGTGCGCGAAAACTCGG